TAGACATGCACTTCATGTTGTTGGGGAATTTTGTCAATAGACATTATGATAAATGGCATCACAAGGCTTGATGCCTGCGAGGAATACTGGTCTTAGTAGTCATCACCCGGCAAAATTAAACAGTTCACTATCAAACAATGGCCACTATCGAAATGGCCACTATTGCAACTATCGAAATATTACAATGGCCACTATCGAAATTTTCCCAGGCGATGACTATAAAGACCAGGATTTCTTGCTAGGATCAAGTCTTGTGACGTCATTATGCATTTAAGGTCTATTACATATGTATCTGGTTGTGGGGTATCTCAGGGGATGGGGTAGGAATATTCTTTCCATCACACTGGCTTGGCAAAGTCCATAATATTTATGTTAATTAAAAGAATAAAATTCTTAAAATGATCTATCAATTATACATAAATATAATTATACAGTATGGTGTTTCCACAAACTAAAACAAATAATATAGTAATTTGCTATATTAATGTTGAATATATTTCTGGTATATTGCACTTCTTAAAATGCACCCTGGATCAAGACAAAATAAATTTGTGTGATAAAGTAGTCACAACTTACCACAGTCACCAGAAAATTCAGAAACAGATGAGGGGCTTTCAGAAGCATTCAGTTTCTTTGAAGATGGCTCGTTTTGTCTTTTAGAATTCGGAGTCAAAGCATGTTTTCCAGAACTGTCTTTCTTAGGAGTACTAGTCAAAGGCGTACAGCCAAGATCGACTTCATCTTCATCTATAAATATTATAAATCCACGAATGAGAAGTGAGAAGTAAATTTGCACTTAATGCAAACTACAAATGCTCGAAGTTGTTCAGAAAGTTCTGTACCACATCCATGGAGATGGGATACAGTCTCAAAAGTGAAAGAATTATGTGAATATAAGAATATAACAAACCAACAGATTTTATAAAATAGATAAACAATGGATAAAACAAGCAGTTAAAGCAGGGCTCGAAGTAGAGAAAAATATGGCCTGCCAGTCTAAAATGTTTTGGCAAGTGAAATAAATTTTAGCCTGCCATTTTTATTCATTGGACTGCCAAAATGGAGATGTCTCATATGAGTCATATTGTAAAAATCAATGTTTTCATGCATTTTTATTATTTTTAATTAAACTTGTCTATTTTACTACAGTACACTTGGATTTACATTTCAAATATAAATGTGTTTAGTCGACTAAATGATCTTGTATATATGAGTTGTGGTAAGCAAATGAAATGAAACTATATATCTATAGAATTTCACCTGCCATTTTTTTTTAACTTTGGCAGTTCAAATTTGTTTTTACCTGCCATTTCTAAAATATGGCCTGCTTTTGGCCATTGGCAGCCTCCTATTTCGAGCCCTGAGTTAAAGAATCAATAAAATCATGTACCAATTTGTACAAAAATCGTTTAACTTACCTTCCAGACTAAGGTTTTGAAGAGATGTATCAAGTTCCCACTCTCCTCCGCAGAGGCTTTGTAGATCTTTGTAGCTTGTTTGTATTTCAAGTGTGTTTTCTGCCATAAATAGTGTGTTAACCACAGAACCGAAAATCAAACCAGAGAACCGAACATTATTTGGCAGAGGCTTCCCTTTCTCTTTTCCCTCTTCCGTCTTTCCCCGCGAGCTTGGTTGTGTGATTCCCTATTATCTCCAAATGTCCACGATGTCCTTCCCTATTATCTCCAAATGTCCTTTAACCCCGCGCGCTCGCTCCGCCCGCGTGCCCACTTCTCTACCTAGCCCGCTACTGCCCGCAAACTCTATAGTCAAACTTCAGTTATATATAGAAAGAAAACAAACTACAAACTAACTACAATATAGAAAGAAAACAAACTACAAAGATCTACAAAGCCTCTGCGGAGGAGAGTGGCAAAATACGTCCTTTCAAAATGAAAAACAATTACTTCGACAGAGTTTGTACTAGCGCATGCGCATAACGTCGAAAACCGTCCATGACATAAACAAAAAGGAGGACAACTTTGCACTCCGCTATGTTTTCACATACTCGGGTATAATTAGCCGTGCGGAATTAGTACCCTCGCACGGCGCTTCACGCCGCCTGCTCGGGGATTAAATGGCTTTATCGATAAACTTTTGGTTTGCAATAAAATGATTTCAAATTCTGCATGCAAATAACTTTGCTTTCTTTCTAATTTAAAAAAATTCAATATAATAAATAAGGGGATCAATATTGAAGTAATAAAGATGCACTGAAATGCGGCCCGATAATAGGATATGCTCTCAGTTTAGTTGTTTCATATACGCAAAGGCCGTCGGGTTTTGAAGCAATTATAAAATCAATATTTGAAACAAACTTACCTTCGTTAACGTCGGCTCCCTTCTTTTAGCCAATTCTTTCGCCATTTTTTTCTTGAAATTTACAAAATCTTGCAAAAATGGAGCAAAAATGAAATTTATACACGCTTTTCATAAATGGCTGCCGATTAAAAATTCTTTTATGTGCATATAAATTGGCCCAACTAGCCTCGTTTCTGGGTAGAAATTCCTTTGAAATCTTAACATGAGTACGAGGCTAGTTGGGCCAATTTATATGCACATAAAAGAATTTTTAATCGGCAGCCATTTATGAAAAGGGTGTATTTGCAAGATATATTTATCAATTATCAAATAAAGAAATGTTTGCTATTTCGCTGTCGTCATGCAGTCGTTATAATGCAAACTTTAAATTGGACCAATCACAGTGTTTTTGCTATTCATAACAGTCCGCCATATTTTTGAGATCAGTGAGGATGACCACCAACCCCAACATCGTTGGTCACCCACGCCCGCGATAATTGATGAACTTTAGACTTCGCTAATGCTTTCGTTTTCCTGGGTGTAAATAGCCGGGGGGAATTATTACCCTCTCACGGCGCTTCGCGCGGTCTGCTTGGGGATAATGAACAGGCCGAGAACAGTTTTAATTCTGAAATTTAATTGATATTCGAATATTTTGTTTTATTCATTAAAAATTTATGCTAAAACAATTATTCGCATCAGGCTCAGTGATTACGGTGAAAATTCACCTCGACTTCGTCTCCGCCGGTGAATATTCACCGGTAATCACTTTGGCTTCGGCGAATAATTGCTAAATATCTCTCAAATCGTTACAACAGTCTTGGAGCCCCAGTAACTTTATCATTCTACATATCACACTGCAAGACTTAATCTTTCAAAATATGCTAGGAAAACGTAAATACCACACGTACCCTCTCCAGACATTATATTAATCAATAAATCTACGGGATAGCATACCTTCAACCAGTGGTTCCTAAATTACATTAAATTCGTACTCGAGTAAAAGTAGTACTGTAATTAACAGTAAAACTACTTGAGTAAGAGTAAAAAGTACTGCAGGCCCGACAAAACGTAGTTTAGTAACAGGTACAAAGTATCCTTGAAAAATACTTAAGTACAAAGTAAATGTAAAAGTACTATTGTCTGTGGCGTGTTTGGGGGGTTTGCATAAATGGATTGACATACAAAAGAGACAAAACAGCACACGCGTTTTACGCGTGCACCTAAATAGAGGATATTTGATGGTTGCGAGAAGATACGGATTTTATGTTCGAGCGGCAAAAACAATATCTCACGAGTGAGCGCAGCGAACAAGAGAACATAAATCCATATCTTTTCGCAACCGTTTAATGTTTTGTTTATTATATGGACTTATTCAGAGTGACAAAAATACACACAAAGACGACATGTAAATAAGCACGTCAAAGACCAGTATAAAAGCGATATATTTTGAAATTATAGCAAACGTAAAACTAGAATAAATTTTACTTATCTCAAGATGTCTCTTACAAAATGTTTTCGTTTTATTTTCAACGTTCATTTCGTTTTATATACGAACGAAAGACCATTTGTATTTTCAAAAACAACAACAATGAAAATGGCGGGAAATTTTCGAACTTCGTATGTAACTAGCAGGGGTGAAATACGGAAAATATGCGCATCTGGCCCCGGATGTAGTGACGTATCAGTTCTACGACTGACGTATAAGTTCTATGTTTTAGTTTCCAGTAAAACACCATTGTCTATATAATAATATACAATATTGCACGGCATCAAATGAGAGATCCTAGACGCATGTTTAGATCTTATTACCTATCCCAAAATAAAATAAATCAGGAATAAATCACGTAAAATTAAACAAAAGTTAGAAAGTAACGAAATACTTCGCCACAAAATTAGTTAAAACGACTTCGTACCAAGTAAAAATTCTCCAAACAAAGTTTAGTTTACTTTGTTACATGCTGACAACTCAAAAATAGTACGCAAGTACAGTAACGAAATAGGTTACTTGACACCACTGCCTTCAACACATGTACATATATATGTGTTATTTACCGGATTGGAGGTCCGTATAGAGAAATATTTCTCGAGGTCTTAAAAACGGCCCGAGGCCGAAGGCCGAGGGACGTTTTTAAGACCGAGAGAAATATTTCTCTATACCGACCGACAATACCGGTAAATAATATTTTTATTTTTTTTAATTCCTCCTCTGGATTCCCCAATCACTCCTCCCGCACGCGAACGAAGCTGCCAAATAAAACGTCGTTTCTATCAATGCTATTGGGAAGAGAAAATCTTTTGTGAGATAGTAAAGTTCGCTTTCACTGTGTTCTTCATCGTCTGCAGACATTTTAATATTTTAAAAAGTAGCCTTTAAACTCGTCTTTAAATTTTGAAAAATAAAAACATTGGCTCTACGGCTTTAAATCTCGCGCGGTCCGTACGGGCTCATACGGACCGCTCACGTAGCCAATCAGATTGCAGAAAAGCGTAAAATATGACTTCGGACCGCAAGAAAAAAAATAAAGTTTGTTATTTTAGAATAAAAATCTTTTGCAGGTCTATTCCCAGAGCCTTATCTTCTTGCTGTCAGTGAAACAAGAATAGCAGTTGTTGGCCTAACATCGAATTTTTCAACAGTTGTCATCAATGAACGTTACACTATAAAAAGCTTGATCATTGATCCTGTTGAAGAAAACATGTATTTCAAAAGTGGGAGAGAAGTGTACAGATCGAATTTTGATGGCTCTGATAAAGAATTAATTTATGAGGAAGAAAAAGATCCTGTTCAAGTATTTGCGTTAGACTGGATAAGACGAAACATGGTCTGGGTGGATTCAAGATCGATAATTGTGGGTAACATGAGCTTCTCTGACGGTGTACGTATCAAATACAGTAAAAACAACAATGCAAGTTTGGCAATAGATCCTAATGCAGGGTGAGTCACACTAAGCTATACTATATGACTGGAGGACCTGCTCAGCAAAAAAAAGTGAAACCAAAAACATGGCAAATTTCGGCCTTTGCTGACGCCATTTCCATGACAACTGTTCCGTTTTTCTTATGGTAATTACCACTGACCAGGCTCGAATTTGAGCCCGCTACAATTTCCACACACCCCTGGTTTTCAGAAAAATCTTTAGGTTTTTGAAATTTTGATCGGTTTCTACAGAAATTTCTCGATAATATGAATCCATTTCTAAAATGTTTTCGAGATATTTTTTCTAAATTTGGTTATTGTTTCAAATATATATATATATATATATATATATATATATATATATATATATATATATATATATATATATATATATATATATATATATATATATATATATGTGCAAGTCATACGTGTTATTCTTTCCCGGGAAAGACAACAAACAAATGTTCAATTCTCGCAAAATATGAGAAAAGAGGATATTTCAATAAGCAGCTATAAACATGTATATTTATATTTTTATTCACTTCTTAACTTATTTCACATAAAATCAGTGGCGAAGCCAGCCAAAAATTGTTTGTCATGCTTCGAGCGGCGAAGGCGCGAGGCTTTCTAGGGGGTTCTGGGGCATGCTCCCCCGGAAAATTTTCAAAATTAAAACCCCGGAAATGCCATTTCCTGAGTTTATTATTAACTAAATCTCCAAATGCATCGGACTTAAAAAAGTATATAAAATCTTTTCGCGTATACTTCGAGTATTTACGCGTCCTTCTTGATTCACCGTCTTCCGCTCTCGCAACAACTACACAAGCCTTTTTGATGCTTACTACCAGTGGCGTAGACAGAACGATAATTGGGGGAGGGGGCATATTCATATATTCGTGTTCTGCTTTATTAATTTATTTTGAAATCAATTGTTTTTATGGTATGTGAACACGAATATATGAATATGGGCCCCCACCCCCCGCAATTATCGTTCTGGCTACGCCACTGCTTACTACAGGGCTACTACAGGATTATAAAGAGTGCTCAATACTTTATGGTGAGCTAAGTTTATTTTGTTTCAAAATAAATATACAAAACAAACGTTGTTACTCATGCCAGAGTTTACAGACAATCTTCGAATAACACAACACAACTTTTAATTAGTGAGTTGTCCGAAGATTGTCTGTAAACTCTGGCATGAAACTCTGAGTAACAACGAACGTTTGTTTTGTAACTTTATTTTAATATATATATATATATATATATATATATATATATATATATATATATATATATATATATATATATATATATATATATATATATATATATATATATATATATATATATATATATTTT